CAGCATAAAGTCGCCAAACGAGTAGAGAGTCCTTCGATCGTGAATCAGAAATAAAAAATTTTTGTTATTGCTATTTTTACTGGGGATGGATTAGTTGCCTTAGTACGATTTCTCTCCGCTAAGCCGCGTTGTTTGTCGGAACAAAATCCGACCGACAATAGAAAACTGCAGCAGTCATCAACAGATACGATTGTACTACTTTACTGTGATATATAAGTATCTTGTTTTCAGAATAGTTCTGGTCTAAGAAATATGTACATGTGTATAACTTTTGATGAAATTAAAAACGATATACAGTGATTTTATATTGAAAACTCAGTCCAACACAAATGACGTGTAGAATGCGTAAGCTAGCATACAGCCTTTACTCCAATAGCCTACAAAATATATGTTTTAGTTGTGAAAGCTAGCATATAACCTTAACTCTAAAAGTGCATGCATAATGTGTTGGATAGTACGCTACCTTAATTCTAACAAATCACAGATATAACTGTCTAAGGTATCATTTTTCTTGAATATAAATGATAAATATATATATTGCGTAGCTTGAATATATCATGTATTCTAACACAAATGTATTATTTTAAAGGTTTATCAACTAATTGTAGTGTTGATGTAACGAGAATGAAAAACAGGAGAGCTTGAAACGGATTCTTCTTCCAACTTTTATTCCGGAAACCGGAAGTACACAATCAAAACATAAATAAACATACGGAGACGTAATACAAAAATATAAATACACAAAAATGATCATGTTCATATAGTTCATAAAGCGATGTCGCCGATTGAAAGCTGTGAGCTTCTTATGGCGCGTTTGAATATATGTTAAAGTACTTTTCACTTCCGGTGCGTATAGATAGACCTGCTAAAGTAAGGAATAACAACTTGCGCGGAATTTTGTTGGGTGATCCGACCAGAATTTATTCAGTCTGTTCTTAAAAGTGTCCACAGTTGGAGAATTGACCACATTATCGGGTAGACTGCTTCACACCTCTACAACTCTATTGCTAAAGAAGTTACTATACATGGCCTTATTTGTTCTCCTCTTGAACAGCTTTCTGCTATTTCCTCGTGTTCCAACGGGGCGCGCTCTTATAAACATTTTGTCCTGATCTACAATGTCAATTTCCTCCATAATTTTGAATAATTCGAACACATCCGCTCTGATACGTCTGTATTCTAGCGTTGGAAACCCTAACTTAAGCAGTCTTTCGGCGTAGCTCAGGTCTTTGAGACATGGTACTAATCTGGTTGCACGACGTTGAACGTTTTCCAGTAGAATTTTGTCTTTTTTCAAGTGTGGTGAACATGTGACCGTTGAATATTCCAAATGTGGTCTTACCAAGGATTTGTAGAGTGTTATAAACATGTCGATGAACGTAAATGTTCTAAATATTAGTCCCAAGTTCCTGTTGGCCTTTGATACTGCTTTTGTTATGTGTTCGTTGAACTTGTTGTCAATAATTACTCCGAGGTCTTTTTCATTTGTGAGACAGTCTTACTATTTGAAGTCGACTGGTCTTGTTCGATTTTATAGTGTTGTTCTTGTTGATCTTGAAATTTTCCAATCCTAAGGTGTTTACATTTGTCGATGTTCAGTTTCTTGAGCCAAGTGTTAGTCCAAATGCATACAGAGTCCAGACCCTTCTGTAGGCTATCACGATCCGAGTCACTTCCAACTTTCCTTAATATTTTGGAGTCGTCTGCAAATAGTTTGGTTGAGCTACTGATGTTGTTTGGAAAGTCATTGATGAAGATCAGAAACAGAATAGGTCCAATTACACCTGTGGGACCCCGCTGGTGACCTTTGTTTGTGATGATATAGAGCCATTGATGACGACTTGTTGTTTTAAGTTATGGAGAAATCCTTGTATCCAATTTAGTACTGCACCTCCATCACCGTATGATTTGAGTTTGTGTAAAAGTCTCCTATGGGAAACCTTGTCGAAGGCCTTGCAGTAGTCTAAGTAGATGATATCAGTTGAATCTCCATTGTCTAAGGCCTGTGTCCAGTCCTCCAAACATTCTAGTAATTGAGTGGTACAAGATCTTCCTTTTCTGAATCCATGTTGACAATTAATAAAAAAAAAAGTTGTTTCCCTCCATATGGAGTGCATCCCTTATTACCGTTGCATGATCGGTAATTGTTAGCTTTCTTTTTTGATCCATTTTTGAAGATTGGAGTAATGTTGGCTAATTTCCATGGTGATGGGATAGTACAATGTACCTTCGTCAAGAGATTTCCTGAATATTTTAGTAAGGGGCGTTTGTATCTCGGATGCCGTCTCCTAGTAAAGTTTTGGATGGAGTCCGTCGGATCCAGGGCTTTTGTTTGGGTTGATTTTTTAATGGCCTTTTCAACAAGATCCTCTGTGATATCTATTTCGAGGAGATGCCCGTTTGGCTGCTTACTAATCATAAGCGGAATGTCACCTGTCAGGTCGTTAACAAACACTGTAGAGAAGTAGTTGTTTAAAGTTTCTGCTGTTTCTTGGTCAGATGTCGTCAAACTACCATAAGATTTTTCTAGTGTGTTGGTTCCTGATTTAGTCTTTGTTTTTGATCGCACATATTTCCAAAACCGTTTCGGATTAGCTTTAATGTCGTCAGCTAGATTATGTTCATAAATTAATTTGGATTTCCTCAAACAAGCTGTGGCGTTATTCCTTGCTACTCTAAATTTTACGTAGTTCTCTGGTGTTTTACAGTGTAGATATTTAGTCCAGGTTTGGTGTTTTTTCCGTACAGTTTGTAGTGTAATGGGTCGAGTGGTGGACGTTTAGACTTCACATTTGATGTAATAGAACAGCATTTAAAATCTAGTATAAAAATGCGTAGGTCTTCGTACTCAAGGATGATGAAATGATCGTGAACCTAGGTCTAAATTCGTTTAAAGTTCCTAGCAATGATATTATCTATTACTGCCAATTGAAAGAATTCCATTTCCGTATACAAATTTTCACGGCCGTGCTGCTTTTGCGGTTTCACTGTTGAGTGTATTTTTTATAATAAAGTAATGCTGAGTCTGATACCATGAATCATGGAATCTCTTTAAAAGCGATTTGACGTCATGCCGTCTGAAATACTAAAAATATGTATTTCAATCATTTATTAACATCAGTGAAATTCCGTTAATATGGGATATCGGGGCAAGTTCGACCCATTCAAGCTATTAAAGTCGTTCTTAACAGAATGGCTTTAGTTGAAATTTGTGTAAATATATATCTACCATTTGGAAGAGAAATTCCATGACATGCATAAAATAATAAAAGGGCAAACACGTTCATATTTGAAGAATTATTTAACTTTTCTGGCCGAACCTGCCCCAGTATCATGGGCCAAACCTGCCCCAAATTGATATCACAATAAATTCGTGTATTACAGCAATATGAGGTCAATGCTAGACTTTCATGTATACCATCATGTGAAGAATTGGGCTTATATAAAAAAAATCGTAAAACTAGAAAGAAGTGAGGTTATGATTTTTCTTTCTATCCTTTCAGAAGCAGCTTTCTCCCTTTTAGTGATTTAATTATTTAGTTTTCATCATTTTCCATGTGAATGTTCTGCCCAGTCAACTAAACTGCTTAGATCCTCGAAGTTGTAAATATTTGCACAAGATCAAAAATATCAGCGTTCAGAGACAGAAATGTTCGGTCTGCCGTTTTTTCACAATTCACTGAATTCTGTCACGTTCAACATGCAGGCCTACACTTTTGACGTCGTGCTGTGCTCTGCCTTTCAGCTGTTACATTGTTTCGGGGTTCGGTTACTCTAATAGTACACTTCAGACTTAGATAACTGGATTCACCTGTAAAGTTACTCTAATACTATAGACTTAGATAACTGGATTTACTTGTATAATTTATCTCTTTATCTGTTCTTTTGGATTGCATTACGTCTGAAATTGTCATGACTTCGATATGCGTCAAATATGTAAAACACTTCCAATTTTTCATGTGCGAATGCCTTTCACTTTTTCTTTGAGTGTCAACGTTTTGGTAATGAAAGGCGTATTGTGTTGCCATATGTACTTTCGGTGCACATTAACTACCTCATCAAACCAAGCAATATATATTTAACGGTGTTTTGTATGCTGTGTAGTTGTAATTGTAAATGTATTACGGGAGAAGGCTGTGATACGTTGTAATAACTTGTGCCTAATCTTTTGTCCAATATCATTGGAAATAAAATATGTTTAAGTAACGTAACATTTCCAATCGAACGTATCATTATATCCGGTAGAAATGATGGCTTGAATGAGTTATATTAGTCTAAACCTTACCCATAAAGTTGAAATGATGCAGAGAAGAGCCGCCAGGTACACCGTTGGGTGCTATAACTACACCAGTAGTGTTACAGAAATGCTCCAAACCCTGAACTGGCAATCCCTTGAACAACGCCGTAAAATGACTTCCACCATATTACTATATAAAATCATAAACAGCTTTTTGGCATATGATGGCAACAACACAAATTCCAGATTCCACACAGCTCCACAAATTATCATGCAAATTCATTCTTTCTAGAACAATTCGTACCTGGAACAGCCTTCCAACCTTCATCGCCGACAGTGCAGACCTCTCAACACTGAAGGCAAATCTCCTCTCTCACAAATTCTAAGCGTACATGTTGTTTTTATCATATAGTTCTAAAAAATAAAAAAATAATAAAAAAAAATACTTGTTTTTAACCGATCTCTCTGACTCCTCTAAATAATGTTCAGTATATTGAACGTTTTAGAGTATCCTGTTGAAGTTGAAGTTGAAGACAAGGTAATCTCTGCAATTCAAAATGTGCACCGATGTCTAGTAAGGACGCGGACAACTTCGTTCTTATCTTACGATAATAAACATATGCTAAAATTCCTATTATGTAATGTGTATTGTTTCTATCTGAATTAGCTGATTGGTGTTTTGGCGCAAAATCGCGACATAACAGTTGATGACGTCATTTCTCCCCGCCTTTTCAAATGTTTTCCTCTTTTTTCCTGTCCACAGGATGGGGTGTGGCTCCAGCATGGACTCCTTTGACGAGCCCAAAACCGTGGTGGTGTTCGGGGCGACTGGGTTATTAGGAGGATCAGTTGCACGTGCACTATTGAACGATCCTTTCAAGTTCAGGGTCAGGTGTGTCACGCGGAAAAAAAATAGTGACAAAGCGCGGGAGTTGGCGGAACTTGGTAAGATTTCATAGAACTGGCTGGAAGACACGGTTTGAGATGTGTATTTGTCAATTGATATATTGGTTATTATTTTTCGTTTTTCAAGTTAATAAGGACGCATTTTAATGTTTTGAAATGCGGACTAGATTACTTGATAATCGGAATACGGTAGTGCTAGACTGTAAACAACTTTGATTATATTCTAGTCTATGGCTTTCCCCTTGTGACGTCGGAAGGTGACGTTTTCACCTTGCTCACTGTAAACTTTTCATTTCTATGCTGTTTAACATATTTGTTATGTGTTATGATCTCATTGTTATACATGTATTTGTTTCGTTAACCTATCGCGATATTGTTTTTTCCTCACTAGCGTTGTGGTGTTGTACGTACGTTGTAATCTCACTAGGCCTGATACAGAACGGGATACTCAGTAAAGGATGTTGATACATTTTGATACATTTTTATGAGTTTATTCCGTCTTCGGTATAGGCCACGTGGGCATTTTGTTTTTACTTGTTTTTACTTGTCTTTGTTTAGATGTCATCATACAATTGTTGCCTATTGTAAATTCATCGTCATTATAAATGTTTTTTCTTATACAATGATGCAACGTCCCCGTCATCAGTAGTCGATGTTTTCTTGAAACAAGTTATTCTACAGACTTCATATACTATAAATGAATGACCTTGACCCACTATGACTTTCAAGGTTATAGGGGTCAGATATGTTAACAACTTCTTCAACAACCCTTGAGTTTCTATAGTACAATGTAATAGTATTTGTCCCATAACCTGCTGAAGTGAAGAGACATCAAGCGTAAATTCAATTCAATGATATTGACTTACTTTCAAGGTCACCATACAAATCTTTAAGTCACATAGTCACCATAATTGACATGTACAGACTATAAAGTGATCAACTTTCAAGGTCACCTATAAAATGTGTTAAAAACATCAAAAAACTTTTTCTGCAAAACTATGATAGGTTAGTGTCAGGATGCTTTTTTAGTATCTTGCACAAGGAAAGGATAATCAACTTTGTTCAATTAAGTGACCTTGGCAAACTTTCAATGTCAGAAGAGTCCAGTATGTAACATCGAACATACAATTCTACAAAACAATGAAGTGTGCAGTCGTGATATTTGATCTGAAGGAGCTGGAAAGGACAGTTATCACATTTGGTCAAATTAATGACCTTTACCTATCCTCAAGGTCATAGGAGGCAAATATATCAAAAATGTATGAAACAAAACTAAGTGAGTGATTAAGGCCCTTTGAGCCTCTTGTTTATATAAATATCTCTCATTGTTTTCACGAATCATTATATTTTTTCGTTGTTCAGGTACCTACGGTAAGCATCTGTTATCAGCTATTCAACATGCATGCATAAATACTTTAATTTAAAGGTTGTTACCCTAAAAACAGCATGTTGGGGAAGGTACAGACAGGATTAGGCTCCTATACAGCTTTAACTGTCATGACTCCCGGATACCAAGTTGTAACATCTCCACAGAACTTTGTTCTATAACAGACCAGTTTGATGTCCACCAGGAAACTCCATTTGTGTCCCTTAGAGACCAACTTGACTTACATTTGTAGATCCCTCTCCTCTAACAAGATTTAACTCACTCACCCCTGAAATTTTATGATAAACTATTCCAACCTCTGAATAAGAAGAGTTCAAATGTGTCTTCAGGGGTGAATGAGGTAAGGCAGATCTAATTCAGTTATCATTTGTTCCCCTTTTATAACATTTTCTCCATAACTGTTTCCTTGCAGTAAGTGGATGTCTTTTTGATTAATGCCCCCACCAAAATGACCATTGCAGTTCAGTAGAAATACAAACAAAGCTGTTCCATTACCCTGTAAACGCCCACCCTTGTTGATTATGTGTTTAGTGTAAATTAGGTAACAGTTGCGGAGATGACAATAGAAATAAACTGTAATCCTGATAATTCATCGGTTCAAAGATTCACATGGACATCTCCTTCATTTACGTTATGTGACATTTCATGTGAATTAGGCAAAACATTTGCTATTTCTTTTAAGGCTGAATGTTTGATATTTATACCCAGTGCTTCATCACTCCCCTGGGACTGGGCCTAACTGTGATACATCAAATTAACTTCTTAACTTCATAACTCTTTTTAATCAACCCACCCAACCTCTAGGATTTCCCTGCCTTTAACACTGCATGGAAACTTGATAACCTTACACAGCCGTACCAGAGGGATCTGGGATCCAAGCTTCAGGTGGTGGATATATTTTTTCTGTTTCACACCAGGTGGATATCCAGCACGAAATATTACTGTGGAATGAACCAGAGATTACACGTGTAACACACTAGTTTATATGCCAAGTAAATTGTAAATCATATGTTTCAATGAAACATATGATTAACAATTTTAAAACAATGATATTCATGGAAAACCCATAAGAGCGTAATATGGAAATGACTTACTGTAACATACTTATGTTAATTGTCCCTGGCATAATAGATAGGATATACAAAGTATGTATCCTTGAGGACTCGAGTATGTATCCTTGAGGACTCGAGTATGTAAACTTGAGGACTCGAGTATGTATCCTTGAGGACCCGAGTATGTAAACTTGAGGACTCGAGTATGTATCCTTGAGGACTCGAGTATGTAAACTTGAGGACTCGAGTATGTATCCTTGAGGACTCGAGTATGTAAACTTGAGGACTCGAGTATGTATCCTTGAGGACTCGAGTATGTAAACTTGAGGACTCGAGTATGTAAACTTGAGGACTCGAGTATGTATCCTTGAGGACTCGAGTATGTAAACTTGAGGACTCGAGTATGTAAACTTGAGGACTCGAGTATGTATCCTTGAGGACTCGAGTATGTAAACTTGAGGACTCGAGTATGTAAACTTGAGGACTCGAGTATGTATCCTTGAGGACTCGAGTATGTAAACTTGAGGACTCGAATATGTAAACTTGAAGACTCGAGTATGTATCCTTGAGGACTCGAGTATGTAAACTTGAGGACTCGAGTATGTAAACTTGAGGACTCGAGTATGTATCCTTGAGGACTCGAGTATGTAAACTTGAGGACTCGAGTATGTATCCTTGAGGACTCGAGTATGTAAACTTGAGGACTCGAATATGTAAACTTGAGGACTCGAGTATGTATCCTTGAGGACTCGAGTATGTAAACTTGAGGACTCGAGTATGTAAACTTGAGGACTCAAGTATGTATCCTTGAGGACTCGAGTATGTATCCTTGAGGGCTCGAGTTCATTGGATTCTTTAATATCAGTATGTTAACAGTAACTCTACACATCTTCTTACCGTATTTGACATAATATAGATACAAGGTGGTGGTATATGAGGAGTGCTCTGCCTTTTTTAGACGCATTTGTAATCAAACAACATAAAGGTATCTTGACAACTTATGCAGCAGGGACATACTAGTGATGGTCTATTTATGCCACTCCTAACTTGATTATACTATTGATAAAGTGGGACATACTAGTGATGGTCTATTTATCCCACTCCTAACTTGATTATACTATTGATAAAGTGGGACATACTAGTGATGGTCTATTTATTCCACTACTAGCTTGATTATACTTTTGATAAAGTGGGCATACTAGTGATGGTCTATTTATTCCACTACTAACTTGATTATACTATTGATAAAGTGGGACATACTAGAAATGGTCTATTTATTCCACTCCTAACTTGATTATACTTTTGATAAAGTGGGACATACTAGTGATGGTCTATTTATTCCACTCCTAGCTTGATTATACTATTGATAAAGTGGGACATACTAGTGATGGTCTATTTATTCCACTCCTAACTTGATTATACTATTGATAAAGTGGGACATACTAGTGATGGTCTATTTATTCCACTCCTAACTTGATTATACTATTGATAAAGTGGGACATACTAGTGATGGTCTATTTATTCCACTCCTAACTTGATTATACTATTGATAAAGTGGGACATACTAGTGATGGTCTATTTATTCCACTCCTAACTTGATTATACTATTGATAAAGTGGGACATACTAGTGATGGTCTATTTATTCCACTCCTAACTTGATTATACTATTGATAAAGTGGGACATACTAGTGATGGTCTATTTATTCCACTCCTAACTTGATTATACTATTGATAAAGTGGGACATACTAGTGATGGTCTATTTATTCCACTCCTAACTTGATTATACTATTGATAAAGTGGGACATACTAGTGATGGTCTATTTATTCCACTCCTAACTTGATTATACTATTGATAAAGTGGGACATACTAGTGATGGTCTATTTATTCCACTCCTAACTTGATTATACTATTGATAAAGTGGGACATACTAGTGATGGTCTATTTATTCCACTCCTAACTTGATTATACTATTGATAAAGTGGGACATACTAGTGATGGTCTATTTATTCCACTCCTAACTTGATTATACTATTGATAAAGTGGGACATACTAGTGATGGTCTATTTATTCCACTCCTAACTTGATTATACTATTGATAAAGTGGGACATACTAGTGATGGTCTATTTATTCCACTCCTAACTTGATTATACTATTGATAAAGTGGGACATACTAGTGATGGTCTATTTATTCCACTCCTAACTTGATTATACTATTGATAAAGTGGGACATACTAGTGATGGTCTATTTATTCCACTCCTAACTTGATTATACTATTGATAAAGTGGGACATACTAGTGATGGTCTATTTATTCCACTCCTAACTTGATTATACTATTGATAAAGTGGGATATACTAGTGATGGTCTATTTATTCCACTCCTAGCTTGATTATACTATTGATAAAGTGGGACATACTAGTGATGGTCTATTTATTCCACTCCTAACTTGATTGTACTATTGATAAAGTGGGACATACTAGTGATGGTCTATTTATTCCACTCTTAACTTGATTATACTATTGATAAAGTCACTCTTCTTCTTTTCAGTGCATTTGCCCACTGGGCTTATCCCTGGTGGAATACAATATTATACATGTAGATATATTCCAAATAAAATCTTGTGAATATGTACGTAGGTAAAATCTCGCAATGCAGAAATGATTAAAGTGTATATAGCTTGATTTTATGATGTTATAATCTTCTGAACATGATGTCATTGCTTTAATTTTCATGTAATAATTGCTGCATTGAGTTGACCAATATTGTGTAACTGGGTGATTGCCTAGTATTTCAATGAAACTGCATTTAAAAGAAAGGGCCTCAGATGTCAATATCACGTTATCAAAATGGTACATGAATTATCTGACATCAACATGGTGTTACCAAAATGTTACAACAACAACAAAATTTATTTGTTCAGCATTAACAGATTTGTTAAAACTTATAAGTTTTCTGAAGTTTTTTATTTGCATACTGTACTAACCTTGATAATTTGTAGGTGCTTTGGGCACATAGTAACTTTAGTGAAATTAGAAAGTTTGCAGAACCTTCCAAACTTTTCCAAAAATTGCAGAAAATATATAGACAACTTTTTTCCATAAAGTTGGTAAATAGAGAGAAAGTATGGGGGAAAAGATAGGGGTCGCTTATTAGATAGACTACATTACACAAATGGCACAGCTTATGGTATTGTTAATGATTTAATAGGTTTCTCTGACACATGTGATAATATTGTATTGCTGACTGTATGACATGTGTTTGACGTACATGTAGGTGCTGTGATAGTAAATGCTAACCTTGACGACACCAAGTCACTGGAGAAGGCCCTGGCCAATGCGGACGCTATGTTCCTCACCACTCACTTCTGGGAGGAGAAGAACAAACAGAAGGAAATTGTACAGGTAACACTTCTCCTTCATTCCCATTAATCCCTCCCCAACTCCTTCTCAACTTACTAACACTAAAAGAATTCAACAAATTCAAAATAAATCTTTCATGTAATACTAAATTAGTAAATTTAAATCAGGCCATAACTATATAACACCTGAGCAGACCTGTATAAATCCTTGTTACTCTCCTGTTGAGAAGTAGATGATAAAGAGATGATGAACACAAAGCCAATTAAGCATTTTTAGACATGACGATGACCTGATACAACATTCTGCAGCACTGCAGCCTGTTACACAATAGTGTTATTAGGGCAGCACTGCGACCTGTTACACAATAGTGTTGGTAGGACAGCACTGCGGCCTGTTACACAGTAGTGTTGGTAGGGCAGCACTGCGGCCTGTTACACAGTAGTGTTGGTAGGGCAGCACTAGTGTTGGTAGGGCAGCACTGCGGCCTGTTACACAGTAGTGTTGGTAGGGCAGCACTGCGGCCTGTTACACAATAGTGTTGGTAGGGCAGCATTGCCGCCCGTTACACAATAGTGTTGGTAGGGCAGCATTGCCGCCTGTTACACAGTAGTGTTGGTAGGGCAGCACTGCGGCCTGTTACACAGTAGTGTTGGTAGGGCAGCACTGCGGCCTGTTACACAGTAGTGTTGGTAGGGCAGCACTGCGGCCTGTTACACAGTAGTGTTGGTAGGGCAGCACTGCGGCCTGTTACACAGTAGTGTTGGTAGGGCAGCACTGCGGCCTGTTACACAGTAGTGTTGGTAGGGCAGCACTGCGGCCTGTTACACAGTAGTGTTGGTAGGGCAGCACTGCGGCCTGTTACACAGTAGTGTTGGTAGGGCAGCACTGCGGCCTGTTACACAGTAGTGTTGGTAGGGCAGCACTGCGGCCTGTTACACAGTAGTGTTGGTAGGGCAGCACTGCGGCCTGTTACACAGTAGTGTTGGTAGGGCAGCACTGCGGCCTGTTACACAGTAGTGTTGGTAGGGCAGCACTGCGGCCTGTTACACAGTAGTGTTGGTAGGGCAGCACTGCGGCCTGTTACACAGTAGTGTTGGTAGGGCAGCACTGCGGCCTGTTACACAGTAGTGTTGGTAGGGCAGCACTGCGGCCTGTTACACAGTAGTGTTGGTAGGGCAGCACTGCGGCCTGTTACACAGTAGTGTTGGTAGGGCAGCACTGCGGCCTGTTACACAGTAGTGTTGGTAGGGCAGCACTGCGGCCTGTTACACAGTAGTGTTGGTAGGGCAGCACTGCGGCCTGTTACACAGTAGTGTTGGTAGGGCAGCACTGCGGCCTGTTACACAGTAGTGTTGGTAGGGCAGCACTGCGGCCTGTTACACAGTAGTGTTGGTAGGGCAGCACTAGTGTTTCTGGATAACTCTGCACTATACAGACATCTGATCAAGACAGTATGTCATATTCATGTTATTCTTGTTATGTTGATTTTGAAGAGCTTTCTATAAGCTGGGCCCACTTGTATAAAACATCTCAACTCTTGAGATTTCCTCTTAGAGTCTAAGATTTCCCATAGGCAATACATTGCTTGAGATTTTCCTTAACTTTGTGATGTTTTATACAAGTGGGCCCAGATGTATCATAAGACGAGACAGATGTAAGCAACCTGCAGAATCTGGGGTTTTTGTTTGGCAGTTCAAAATGATTATCTGTATCATATTTTCTAACTTGCTGAAGATAGCTGTATGAAAGTTTGGGGATATATGTAGGATGGCAAGGCAGTGTGTCGAGTACCACCATTGGATCTGTACACTCAAGGTCAAGGTCACATTGAGGTCAAAGGTCAAACTCATTGTCTAGGCCATAATTTCTGACTTTCTGAAGATATCTCGATGGAATTTGAGGGATATATATAGGATGGCAAGGTAGTGTGTTGCATATCACTTCAGGGGTCATACATCAAATGTCAAGGTCAAATTAAGGTCAAGTTCAAAACATTGTCTCTGTGACCTTTCCAGAAAGCTTAATTCATCAGTTAAACTATGTTGTTGTTTTGTTTGTACCAGGGCCTGAACGCCATTGACGCTGCTGTCAGCTGTGGTGTCTCCCACATCATCTTTAATGGCTCAGAAAATGTTAAAAAGTTGATCGGGCGAGACTGCAATCATCTTGACTCCAAGTTTTCTATTGAGGAATATATCCGGGAAGTCGGTAAGTATACATAACTATAATTACCGCAATGACATATACACATGTATCACTATAACTAGAAAGAGGAAATATCTTCAGAATGTTTTTTCTTAAAATTAGTAAAGGTTTTATTGCTTCACTAGAACATGAAAACTAACTAACGTTTGGACTTTGGCAGTCACAGGATGTGTCTGATCTCAGAAACATCATATGTCCCTCAGGCGAATTACGTTATTCATTTTTTATCAAGTCTAGTTTTGTTGCCTAGCATTTTCTGAAACCTACACAAACATAGGAGCTTTATTAAACCAACGATATAAACACATAGCATACAGAGTTTTACAATGTGTATTTATCTAGACAATATTTACCTGGTTAGCTCCCCTTACTGATGACGATCAAGTGGGGATTTTTTTGTACATTACAATGACGTAAAGACCACAGTCATCAATTATTTATAGTTCATTATTGTAACATTTTTCTCAAGTTTTCATCAATGTTCCACAAAAGAGTTGTTTATATAATATTGATATAGCTGAAGATCGGGCAATGTATATTATGAGCGGATCTGATTTTAAATTTATTTTAAAATATTTGAAAATGATATATGAGTTTGTGCCGTATACTTCAATGGTTGATTGACGTTGACTTTGTTTGTTTACGATGAGCAGACACAGAAGAAGGAGAAGGTAACAGAAAGCGTGTGTTTTACTGATCAATGTCAAAACTCATAGAAACTGTTTAGTTCACCAAACACTGCCTTGCTCAACCAATCGTCCCCGACACACCCGGCCAGGGACACACGCAAATCATAATTATTGGTATAAAGGTCATTTTCGCTATTGCTGCTATATTTGTATCATTTCAATTGAGCCCAAGCTGTAATGTTCAAGGTTTGTCGCAGGTAAATTTCAGCCTTGTCCCATGGCCAATGAAGATTAGAATAGGACATTTTGGGGAGGGGGGGGGGGGGGTG